GAGCTTTAAGAGCTGGAGGCGCCGTAGCCGCAGATTTCGCCATCATCTGCCCAGAGTTACTGAGGAACAAAGATGCAGCAGCAAAATCCTGCAGGAAGATGGCTGTTGGATTCCTCCAACTCTCCCAGGACTCTGCCCCGAAGAGAGATCACGCCTGTAGTGGCACTCTCCCGAAGCCACAGGCTTTTCCCTTACCTGCTGGTCCACAGAGCCGCCCAGACTGCTGCCCAGCTGCCCTTACCTGCTGCTCCACACAGACTGTCCCTCAACGCAGGCTCTCTCCTCCCCTTGCAACTGCGGCAGAGCTTCCCAGCTTCCTTGCTTTCACCTTAATTCAGAACCAAAATCTGTAGGCTTACTTAGCTTATCCACCTGTAACAGCCTTTTAGCTCCAGGACAGACTGGCAGGATCTTCATGACAGTAAGGGCAGCAGGCCCTCCCTCCACATCAGCCAAGCACCCAGCCTGTCACTGTCCAGCGTTACAGCAAAATGCAAAAGCTCTTTATTAAAAAAGCAGAGCAAAACCCAATATGAAAAACTGACCAGACCACACAGAAAGTTTCATTTTTGAGCTGCCTCTTAAAATATGTACTGCAAGTTCATTTCTCCCACCACAGACTCACGGGAGAAACTAACATGAGACTCTCATACCGCTGCCCTGCCGGAGGTCTCCACTTCTCTGACTCAGACCCTCCCACCCCTTCCCTTTCTCCACGCCACATGAGGACTTGTGTTGCCAGGAAAAGGCAGCACCTTCTCCCCTTTGTGCTCAGAGAAGCAGCTCCCCAGAGGCGAGTCAGAAGCATCGCTCCTCTCCAGGGTAAGGCCCAGAAAACAGCACTCAGCTCCAGGATCCTGAGAAGCCAGCAGTACAGTTTCACCACTTCTCACAGCAGAATGAAATCCTGTTGCATTTTGGCCACAAGAACTCCAGCCAAGGGCTGCAGTTCACAGTGAGGAAGCACCCCACCCTTTGCACGCCAGTCAGTGTTGCAGAGGCTTGAACCATGGCCATGGTCCAACAAGGATATGGACAGCCACTGCCCAGCAGCCCCCCTCTGCGTAGCTGTTTCTGTATATGCATATCGACTGCCCATCACTACAGCCAGGGCCACGGAGGGGCAGGGGAAAAGACCCACAGTGAGCCCTCTCAGCCCCTGCTTTCATCTGTAAGCACTGGGCATAGAAGCACAGGTGGGTAAGAACTGGTGCTTCCAGCAGCTTCAGGACCCCACGAGTAAAGTAAATGGCTCCCACCTACAGGGAACTGTCAACACTGCTGTCTGTCATTCATCAGGTTTCACTGTGAACAGCCCTGGCACCCAAACAAACACTGCAGAATGACCGCTGCCCTGGGCACATACCACCCCCTGCTAGCAGCAGGGTGTGCTGACTGACTGGTGCTGTATAAACAGAGGCACAAACTACTCTGAATGCTGTAGCAGTGCATTCAGGGGAAGAGCCCCATGTCATTAACTCAGACCCATGAGCCTCTATCCCAGCCCTGGATGGTTTCCTCCTCACCTTTAAGTGGTCAGGAGAAAGATTTCTGAAGAGCCAGAGCGATTTTCTGTGTTTGCAAGCCTTCGTGTCACCCCACCATGACAAAACTGTCCTGCTTAGAAAGAATGGGCTGTACCTGAGTTGCTCAACCTCTTCCTGACAGCAGGTATCTGGATTTTTTAAGTCATACTCTCATTTCCTAGAACTGTAGGTTCCCAAGGAGGAGCCCTGTACATATGCCATGACAGCATTCTGCAAGAAACTTGCCCGCTGGGCCTCTTCTTCCCTCATCCTAGAGATGTCAGCCTCCTTCATTCTCAGCTTCTCCAGCAACATAGAGATTTCACCTTCTTTGTCCAGCAGTGCCTCACGGTGATTACTTGATAGGGCTGTGAAAGGAGAGCAGCATTAGTGAAGAAAATTAGGGTGTCCCTAGAACAAACAGGAGCAACACGTTATCGGCACAGCCACAGGCAATGGAAGCAGGATGACCAACAGGCACATGAGGGAAGCTGCATGAGGCCACGTGAGAAGTTTTGAATGGCCAAGATGTTACACCTCACTGTGCAGGAAATCCAAACATTTTGCTTGCTGTGTAGCTTTGGGATCCGAGTCTTGGTCTCTATAAAATGACAAGAATCCCTGCAAATACATCAGGATGGAGGGCACAATGAAAGGATCCATCACCTTTCAGCTGTCTCTCCAGGGCTGCAATCTTCTCTCTCAGCCCTTCCTGTGCTGTGCGTTCAGCCTGCAGGTGTCCAATTTGCTCCTGTAATTCCACTTTCACTTTATTCACCTCTGTCACTTTCTCCTCTTCTTTACTGTTCAGGTCCTGACACACAAAGACAAACCCATGAATAACCAAACAACTTCAGCAACTTGTTCTGCCCCCGGGTGGTGACCATATCTCTACTCCAGTCCAAATTACCTGCTGAAGTTCCTCTAGCCGCCTTCTGAGTCCATCAGCATGCAGGCTCAACTGATTGGCTTTGGCCTGGGCCTCAGCAACCATCTCTTTTTGCCTAAGGCAGCAGTTCTGAGCTTCGTCCCGTGACTCAGTCATCAGCCGCAGCTTCTCTTCCAGGTGTTCTAATCGTTGCTGCTGTAAGACACAAAGGAAAATGAAAATATGTTGGTCCCATTCCATTCCCGCGAAGGGATTCTCCCCTTTTTGTTCCCAACACAGTGAACTCTTGGTTGAGTCAACTGACAGTGAAGAACAAGCACAGGACTCAGCCGTAACAGATACGGCACCTTTCCCTTGCATTCAGGGGCAAACCTAAGCTTTCTGTCGCCAGGGAAAGCATTCTGACAGAGCTGCCGCAAAGCCCAGCTCACTCGCTGAGAGAGGCAGGCATGTCCCTGATAGAAGCACCAATGACACTGCCAGTGTTTACAACGAACGCTCTGTCTTCACCTCCTCCATATCACAAACGGCTCTGAAACACAGCTAAGCAACTGCTCTGTCCCACCACAGACACACATGGCAGCTTTTGTACATTTGTAACTCAGTAAAGCCTTTTCTTTGGTGACATACACACTTACATAAATAAGCATTCTAATAGTTTTGGTGTATTTTCCTCATCCCTTGTTCTCTTTCACAGGGTGCTGACTTCACCGATGGCCATTTTCACAAAGTTCAATCCTACAGTGACTTTTTTTATCCTGCAGAAATTCCTTTGAGTCAAGAGAAACAGGAGCAGCCCATGGAAGCTGCAGTTAAACAGAAGGGTCGACATCTCACTGCTAGCTTCAAAAGTTGGCAACTTCAATGAAATCTGCTATGACAATATCCACATCAATCCTGTTACTACTGGAAAGCACAGAGCAGGGCGAGATAGTGGCTGCATTCTGGAGACAATTCAAATCAGCCTTTTTGGGACTCCTTCATCAGAAATCACACTATTTGCAGGCCAGCGAAACCCAGAGTGGGGAGCTACTCAGCAGTTCCCCGAGACAAAAACATAGGCTGGGCAGCCAAATCCACTCCTTCCCACAGAGGCAGGGCCCACAGACAGGTCTTGTCCTTACCTCCTCCAACCGTGCCTGATTCCGGACTTTTATTAACTCCTCCTCTGCCTGGCCTCGCTCAGTGAGTGCAGCTGCTTTGACTCGGCTCAGCTCCTGCCACAGAAATATGAAAGATCATTCCAGACAGAGAAGCTGCATCACTGACCAGAAAATATTAGCAGCTTACAGTCGCAGGCTACCACATGGCACAGCTGGCTGTCTCAGGGGTAGGGAGAACAAACCCAGATCACATACCTTCTCTCACCCCAAGATTGCCACCTAAATTCAATGAGAATTTCAGTTATATGAGGGCAAGTAACAAGTGAAGCTTTCCAGAGGCAGGGGAATAGGAGAGGGCAGCACTGGATCTAGCTGGGGGAACAGATAAGGAGAAAAACGCTACGCTACTTAGGACCACATGGGAAACCTGTCAAGTCAAATCCTGGTAAGAATCTAACCCTGTTCAATGGAAACTTTATTTTTGTTCAATCACAATCTGCAAGTTTCTCCTTGGAACCTTCTCCTTCCTTAGTCCAAAGCAGTGAAAATTATTTTAGCTGGAGATCTGCTGTTTTCTGTTCCTTCCTACAGCACATGACAATCTTTACACAAGTCAGCAATGGAAGACCCCACAAAACTCCCCTGGCAGCCTTCTCCTGCCACCACTCCCTGAGCATTCCAACATGCCTGGAGCATCCATTCTCACCTCCTCCAGAGCTATCCTGATGGCCTCCAGCCTCTGGATCCTGTCCTGCATGGAACGTTCACTGGCCTCAATGTGCTGTGTCATATGATCCACCTGAGAAGCAGCAGAAACCATTTTTGCAAGTGCCAGAAAACCACTCCTATCTCCAGGCGTAGCAGCTTGGCCACTTGGCATGAGAAACAGCACCCTCCCATTGACCCACCCACCGCCAAAGAAAAACCCTTACCTCCCTCAGAGCTCCACTAGTAAACCGTAAGATAGATAGAATCTGCCCTCTAGAAACTGGGAACTTTAGAAAGAGATCCCTTCCAGGCCAAGATGAAAGATACAGTCTGAGCTCTCATCTTCAAGTGGTACAAAACACCAGAGATTCATTTTCTAGTCACAGTGTGGCTAAAATCTTCCCAGCCTATGTCTTGTCTTACAAGATTTCAAGATCTTCAGAGAAATCTATCGGGGTATAATTTTTGAGAGATTCCACATCTTAATAGACACTCCAAAGAGAGCTGATTACAGCCTCTTGTCCTGTCCACACTCAAGACAGAATCCCCCTGAAACCTAACAAGAGAAGGAACTAGCAAGCTGAGCCCTGTTAAAGGACTGGTTGTATACAGCATGCATATGTCTCAGTTTCCTCCATTAACACATCCTTCTGTCAGTGAGCACGACAAGACTGCTTGTTCATAATTACCCCTGCGTGCAGTAAGACTGACACAGGGCCAGCCTCCAAGCCTCTTCTGTAGAGTCACGTACCGCTCTGGCCCATACCCTTGCAAGCTACAAAATCTTACTAGCTGGCAGAACGCCTTGTGATCTCTTCGGCGAGGCTTTGCTTATAGAAATGGCCTATTAGTCCCACAGTAAGTTTGAGTCCACTAATTTTTAAACTTGTTTAAGAGCAGCTGTCAATGGTGCCTGTATGTCAGGACCAAAGACACTAAGCTCAGGATGCTGAAGAAGCCCCATTCTCACCTCTTTTAACCGAAGGGATTCCATGTCTTCAAGGCTTTGTTTAAATCTTCTCTTCTCCATTTCCAGGCGTTCTGCAGATTAAAAGCAGGCATATCACAGTTATGGCGTTATTGCTACACAGGCTATATTTGTACTCTATCACAAACTCTTCCACCCTTTCTCCTTGGCTGCCTTGCACCATTGACTCACGGACGGTAATCCCAACCCACAGGCGTCCATGCGCTGTTCCTGCTCCTCCACTCACCCTCAGCCTGCACGGCCCGCAGCTTCAGCTCTGCTGTTGTGTTGGTCAAGTCTTGTTTTACCTGGAAAAGCTGATCCT